TTTGATCTCTCACGCATCATCTGCGATTTTCAAGAACTTATAAACAATAGTTCATGATATGTGCCTTGTGGTTTATTTTTTGCACCTCTTGCCAATCGTTGGGACGTTGATCCTATATTTGTTGTAAGTCATTTTCATCTTCAGTAGCTGGATTCCCGAAAAGGTCTCATCTATTTAATATGCCATTGGATATACATTCACTATACATATTAGTGTGCAGATATGTTATATACTTGGCTCAAATGTTCTAGCAAGTCATTTCTCTTTTATTCCTTTGAGGAATTTCTTTGTTATTATGGATGTCGTATACTGGGGACTGGCTTTTCTATCATCTTGCTCAATCTTGGTAAACGACAACCCGATATGTCAGTTATGTATGCCTAAAGTTGCCGTAATAATTAAGCGTATAAATTCCTCCACCTTTCTCATTCTTAAAGATTGAATATTGTCTAGCTTCTGGTGTGATATCAAATTTTTCATTATTGCTTTCCTCATAAACTTGAAGATTCATGCAAATAGAACTTATGTGCATACTTATTAATTTTTTAAAGTACTGTTAAACTCGAATTTTGGTTTAGGTTTTTCTGCTTTTGAAAGCAGAATATCGACATTAAAAATTGGTATTGAAGTATATATCGAGTAGTGTGTGTTTTGTTTCGTTATTTACTTATGTAGAGACATCTTGCTCATTTCGGTTTAGTTACATGTTAAAATTTTGATTTCTTGGATATAACAAAATCATTTTAAGCTGATTAAAGTTTGGTTTAATGTTTATTGGTTATACGAATGATTTCATACACAAATATTGATCTTACACAGTTATTACCTTCAACGAACAGACGGAGGAATCCAGACAAAGGGATGTTTATTGTGATCAATGGCTCGAACCGGATCGTTAAATGTTTGAGCTGGTCATATGTTGTAAGTGCCTCTTTAGCTACTTCTTGAGAAGATATAACCATTGTGATATTCCAAGCTTCAACTATAGCTCCATAAGTTTTGGAAAAGGCAACAAGTGAGTGCTTTCGCCGCTGAAGCTCCTTCATGTTTTTGTGGTGGCAAAGAAGAAAAAGAAAAATGTGAAGAGAAAACAGAGGAGCTAAGACATGGCTGGAAATAGTGAGAGACCGTGTAACTTTTTTTGTATAAAACGTATAACTCACTCATGCATGTATATGTAATATTTTCGGGTCATTTTATGATTTTGTTAGAGCATCCTCTCCTCAATGGTGGGTAAGTTTGGCTAAAAGTATATTTAATAATATTTTAGTGAGTGAGTATTTTAAATGGTGGAGAAACTTACCCATATAGAAGTTTGGAAAAAGATAAAACGATGAATAAAAATCGATTTGATAGAAATTGACAAAGCATCAAAGAGAAGTCAATATCAAACAAAAACTTAAAAAGAGTTTTTGTATAATAAAATTTGGTATGTCAAAGATTATAATGATTGCATAAATTAAAGCATCAGAAGATGTATAATGAAAAACTATATAAACGGTTCTCTATTTATCACAACAACTTGCACATCCCATATATATGGTAAGCACGTCGTGTTTAGAATAGTTGATAAAGGAATGCATGCACATCCCATTAAAGAATAGTTGTTCGTTTGATTGAGCATGCATGTTATCACATCGAAACAGTCTTTGATATCCTATAATTTAGTGATATGCTTAATGATATTTTCTAAAACCAGAAAGAAAGATTTGC